ACATTGTTTCGTTCTGCTGTGCATGGGGTCGCTATGAGTCAGTTCCAACTTGATGGCACCTGACAACAACAACAAAGTTTTGCATATATTTGCTGCTTGATACCAAAACCTTGTTAATTGTCAATTGCTTCAGTGAACATTGTATATAAAGGAGACTTATGTAAAGGATTTTCAGATTGATGCCTCAAGAGGAATATAGAAAATGAATTGTCTCAGTATTTTAGCTTTATAAAATTGGTGTCCACTTAGTATAGATTTATGGTATCTGGTTAGTGGGAATAGTTGGAATACATGAGTGATACATCTAGGGAAGCATAAAAGATTTTTTCCTCTAAGTGTACATATCAGAAATAATATAAAATGTCTTGTCTACTTTATATTTTTTCTGTCTTTTTAGATCCTAATAATATGACCATACTCAATAGGACTTTTCAAGATGAACCACTTATTATGGAGTAAGTATGTGTTTTCTTACCTTTGGATGATTTTAAATTTACAGATGTAAAGTAAAATCTTTGTATAGGAAATAACTTTCCAATTAGTATTGTCACAGAATTCATTGTCCCTGATTGGCTGCAGCAGAGGGCTCAAACCAAGCACCAATTCAGTGGATGATGCACGACCAGACAGTATTTTGGTCTTATACATAGAGTTCGTATGAGATCCAACTCAGTGGATCCTTTGTGAACATCTAAAGCTGACAGGGGTCTGTACTCTTTATTATATGTTATTAAATTTTTAATGAAGGAAAGAGAAAATTTAAATTCAATATTTGGAAAAAGAAACAGATCTCTGGAGTATTATATTTATTTTAGTGTTGTTTTTGTTGTTAAGTGTCATTGAGTTTGTTCCAACTCATAGCAACCCTGTATCAGGTCTCTGAAGACTGGTTGGTGAGGTTGAATTGCCGACCTTGTCATTCAAACCAGCATGTAGTCCAGCACATTAACCCACACCAGTGACACACCAGCACTCCATTTATTTCAATATCTTTGAATAAGTTTCATAATGGATTTTTGTTGATACTAGTTAGGCTATGACTCAAAGCATTAAGATAACCATTTTTGGGGAAAGCTATTAGTGCTTGATTGACAGATTTAAAAGATATGTTATTTCCCCTTGGAATTTAGAAAGATTTCTATATTAAGGAAAAATATGTGTTCTTTTTACAAGTCATCTTTAGAGTTATCATTTATTTCTTTAAAATAGACTCATGTTTAGAAGTCCTGGTGTGGCACTGTAGGATAAGCACTGGACTGCTAACTGCAAGGTTGGCAGTTCAAACCAGCAGTGCATAGGATCACGATGCATTAGAACAGACTTGAAGGCACTTAACAACAACAACAAAAACCATGATAAATTTAATCTGAATTTCTGGTAAGATTTTTTTTTTTTTTTTCTTTCTTGTAATAAAGTAGTCATTCTCCACTACTCATCTGCATATTTCTAACACTATGGTGGTTTTCATATTGTTATGATGCTGGAAGCTATACCACGGGTATTTTAAATACCAGCAGAGTCAACTCTGGTAGACAAGTTTCAGCTGAGCTTCTATACTAAGAGAGCTAGGAAAAAGGAGAGACAGACTATTTCTGAATATTTAGCCACTGAAAGCTTTATAAATAACAGTGCAACACTGCCAGATATTACCAAAATATTGAATATTGAAACACTACAAATAGCACCAAAATATTGTTAGATATAGTGCTGGAAGATGAGTCCCTCAGATTGAAAGTCACTCAAAATATGACTGGGGAAGAGTTGCTTCCTCAAAATAGAGTTGACAGTGTTGATGCAAATAGAGTAAACTTTGGGGACCTTCATTTGCTAATGGAGCACAACTTGAAATGAGGAAAAACAGTTGTAAACATCCACTAATAATAAGAATGTGGAATGTACGAAGTACGAATCTAAGAAAATTGGAAGTTGTCAAAAATAAAGGGGGCAAGAGCACCAACGAGCCAGCCACAGCAGAGAAGACTTTAAGAACTGTTTAACCCTTAGGGAACTGGATAAACCCCAGAGACATTCTGCTGCTTTGCTTGTCGGGC